TCTGGCCCGGAGCCCGCTCCGGTCGAGGACCCCGCACTGATCTGCTCCTTCCGCAGCAGCCTCCGGGCCAGGCGGCTCCCGGTGGCGGACCTCTGATGGGCGCTAGGAAGAGATCCGGGTATCCGGGCTTGCCGCCGGCGCAGGATTCGGAAGGTAAGGGGAGTTGGGCGGTGGAGGGAGGGATGGATGGGGATAGTGAAGGCTTCTGGGCAGGGATCAGGTCCTCCCTCTGTGCCTCCGCCCCCACCTCCTCGTTCCGCTCGGCACCTCCGTCGCTGGAGCATCCTGCTGTCCCTCCTCAGCGCTCCACTAAGGAAACCTTTCACTTTTCATGCAGACCTCTTCCAGGACTTGAGCCAGTTCCAGGAGGCTTGGCTGACAGAAGGTAGGCTCCTTCCTCTTGCGCTTGGTTTATGCTCGTCTTTCAGCTGTTTGTCTTTTTGATGTTTGTACTTCTCCTTCGCTTTGTTTGCCTAGCTGCAAACACTAAGTCTTTTTTTCGGACTCTGGCTTGTGTAAATGAAGATGCATGAATCACACTATTGTGCTGGTATTTGCTTATGAATGGAACTTGGCCGCTGGCCCACTTTCCTGGTTACAATTTTCGTTTCAGGCTACTTGTAACTGGTTCGATTTTATGCTAAGTTGTCGCTTATCCCTATTGCTTCCCAGAACGTTGACACTTTCTTAAACAAACATTAAACTGCTATTTTAATCTGGGGAACAGAGTGCTTCTCTTAACTTTTTTGGTTTTTCTCTCCTTTTTAAAGATAATTTTTTAAAGGGACCTTCCTGGAATTTACACACTCTTTGGTGTGGTGTCTAAATCGCTTTGCCTTTTGACCTCAAGGAAGAGAAAGCTTCAAATCCCAGGGAGTCCCATTAATTCAAAATTAAACTAGTTTTAAACAATATGGTGAATTTGATCTAAATCCAGTACCACAAATGATCAATTTTCTAGAAAGTTCAAAACAGATCCTCAAATACAAACTCCTGATAAATAGAAAAGTACTTACTGTGATATAGATATTTAACAATATTTTTAAAATGCATGGCCTTTTAATCAGCCTTATTTCCCCTAATATTGCCACAAGTGAAGGAAAATCCTGTCAAACTGTTATTTTTTTTAAGCCTCCAAAACAGTATTTGTCAACCAGGTAAGACTATTAGGGGAAAAAATTTCAAATGTTTTATGTTCATTTCAAACGGAAATGAAATGATGTTGATCAGGCAGTGTTCAGGACCATGGGGATTGTGAGGACGTAAGAGGAATTACCTGGAGGTTATTCCAGGATTGAAACATTCACCCAACTCACATCAGAGCAGAAAAATAGGTATTAATAGCTGGTCATCTAATAGATATGCTGAATGTGCACACATACTTGTGACTGGTTTCTCTTAAATCTTCAAAAATCTTGAGCTGCCAATAAGATAAGCTTGCCTCAAAATTGATTTCTGATGGACTTTCACTTTTAGCCTTCCAAGTGTTTGATAATATTTTTAGCTCACCAATCTGAAGAATCTACATAGAATCTCTTACATATGTTGATCAGCAGCAAAGTGTTTGTAGAATGAATCTGTAAGTATCCAGGGGTGAAAGGAAGGTGTAATAGCAGACTACCTCTTTCTATACAGTGCTATGAGACCATGGTCTCTTTATAAGTGATTAGTAAATGATAATGCAAACCCTACTATATGTTTTTATAATATAGAAAGGTTTGGGTGGGTTTTTTTGCATAGGTGTTACCTGTGCTGATTGCAAAGAGGAGAGAGATGTGCTGCTTTCTGTATCCTTAGTCAGGAAGCTTTAGTTATGATGCTCCAGATTTTGAATGTAGTGTGGGAGATGGTGAGGCATATATTGACGTATGCAGTCTTAGTAACCAAAATAAGCCTGGGGTTGGGCTTTAAATGTCTGATTAGGTATCATAGTTATTTTAAGTATAGATGTTGGGTTGGGGAGAACAAGCAAATGCCTATCTATATCATAACTATATCAAGTAGACAAGGAATATACAGGCAGTTTAGTCTTCCAGGACAAGACTGTAGCTGTCAGCAGGCATCACTGTCCAGCAGTGAGTCTTCATGCTCTCACTCCAGCTGTGCTCTTCATTTCACATATTTTCTGTGGTCTCTTGCTTTTAGTACATAATTGTCTTAGCAAGACTGTCAGGAATGTGACAGACAGTAGCGGCTTCATGACAGTAGGCTGTAAAATCCAGACTTGGCTCATACAGTGTGATCCCCATAATTTCTTCTATTACAACGTTATTTTTAAAAGATAATTAATAAAATTAATTTTGCAAGGGCGTTTTTTCCTGTTTCCCACCTTTTATCATTTATATTTGCAGTTTATTGTCATACAGGTTATTTTAAGGAACAGTGATTGCAGTGTGAAGAGTTTGGCTAGTTCCATTCTAACCCACTGCCTGTTGTTAATGCAGCATTATTCCCTAAGGTTTATTTTTTGTCATGTCTCATCTAGCTTGGCCTCAAGCAAATGAGCTTAGTGGGCTTCCATTCCACATCTCCCTTTACTTTGACTACATCACCTTTGCTTTAGAGCTGAGAGAATGTAGTCTGTTGTCCACTCTACAATAACAAAAACTCTAGGTTTGTTGATTATGTACTAACAGCAGCATTTCTCTCAGTAATAGTTTGTGAGAGATTTTGTGAAATAACAGTCTGCTGCAAGCTCTCCCTTCCCTGCAATAAAAGGGATGTAAAAGTAATTGTTAGAAGTAATAAAATATTCTAATGTGACATGTTATGGTTCTCCCCTCAGTTTCTCCTAGGTTATACCCAAAACCTTAGTTCTTTTTCAAACCTGAATTTACCACATTAGTTGCTGTCTCTAGGTAATGAAGGCTTGCTCAGGAGGTGGACTGCAGCCATATCTGAGCTAGGCTCTGACTAATGGAGGAAAAATTGTTGTGTATTAAAATACAGGCTAAATTCTGATTAGTAATGTGTTCTGGGCATCAGCATGGTATGCTTCTCCTGCCTCCTTAAGACCTTTTCTTTCTGTGGTAGAGGAGAAGGCAAAGGCATTTTTAAATAAATACAGATGCTACTGTCAGGGATAAAGCCAGACTGATTCACTTGGTTTGGTATTGGATGTGATTTTGTGTTTCAACAAAACCATACATGCTAGACGATGTGCAGGCTGTCCAAGAGAACTGTTCTTCCTTACTTATACAGCTCTTTCAAAGGAAAGACAGGCAGAAACCATCTTGTAGAATGGAGCAAGCACGCACAATTATATTTGCAGTTGGACAATCTGAATGAATTGTTCCCTCTGAATGTGCAAGGGTAATGTTGATTAAAGCTTTTCTCAGCAAATAAGGGAAGCGGGAAGCAGGACCTAAAGGAGACTATGTGTAGCTGATTCCTCTGTGAAATCAGAAAAGCACTAATTACACATACACTGTTTCAACACAGAAATTTTAGTATAATAGCACTACAGATTGTTATAACATTTGGGTTTGATAATCTCTCAAGGACACGCCTGTGTACCTTGCTGAGTCAGCCCTGCAGTGAAGAAGGACAAACATATTATTTTCCTTCCACTGTGCCTTTTCATTGTTTTATTATCTATTTTGCAATGGCTTCAATCCATGTGGGCTACCACATTGTGGTAGGTGATCCATGAACAGAATGATCTAAGCTGGAGATCAGAAAAAACAGGCGGCTATGTATAGGCAGAAAAGGAATTCACATGAATGATGCCATAAGGGTCAGTGCAACTGTCAGTCTTCACCAGATACCAGCTTGCAACTACTGTTTATCTTTCATAGGCATCAAAGGAAGAATTCTGATATTTTAAGTTTTAAGTATTTCCTTCAGGAAGTGATGAAACATACTGCGAAGTATATAGTAAAAGACTCTTCTAGTGCATTCATTTTGGATACTCTAGGAAACTACCCATGTGGGCTTTACAGCTTTTGCAAGTCTAGTCATTCATGTAAATCAGAATAAATATGAGTTATGAAAAGGCACCAACTTATAAAGTGGGCTGCTGAATTTTCAAGTCAGCAAACACACATGATCATCACCAGTTTGTCTAAAGAAAGCATAAAACCTGAAGCTTCTTAACACTGAGATGTTAATGTTGCTAACTATTTCACTGTTTACTGCATTCAGCAACATCTTGTTCCAGTGAGGTAGGCTGTCCCAAGATAAACTAAGCCTCTACAGATTTTCAAATATCTTTAAGACAACCTTTGAAACATCCAGTTATCTTAGACGTTGCTGCTATTCTTAGAGTTGTTGTCCACAGGGCAGGTGCCTAGAAATCAGCTTTATTGCACTGTTTTGTGGGGAAAGAGCAGCTGTCTGCTGTCAGGTTCTCTGTGACTACACCAGCACTTCCTCTTGCATTTTCCATTTGTGAAATCACACAAACAGGCAAGGCACTATTAACCATTTCTCTCTCCTGCTAACAGATAACCTTTTTTTCCTTCTGAAACTTTCTCTTTCTGCTGATTCAAAAATTGTAGCTGATTCTACCACTGCCAAGCTATCCACTGCTTCTGTGGCTACTGAAAGGATCGTATATGAAGGCTTAGGGGTTTCCTGTTTTGGTCATCATTTTGGCATAGCCTTTCTGAATTTATCAGTCAGTAGTTGTATTTCATATGCTAAATGCTTAAAAATCCGTGCATGTTATGTTTCTAATGAAAACCATGAATCCTGAGATAATAAACTTGTTGTTGTCCTTATTTCCAAGGTAAGGGAGAAAGAACTGCCAGGCTGTTAAGGGATAAATCTGCAGGTAGTGCAACTGTATTAATTAATCCTAAAGGGAAACTATCATTTAGTCTCTAAAGTGCATCCCTATAGAAAGCTCAGATTTTTCCTGCACAGACTTATTTCTGCCTTACTGTTAATTATACCAAACAAAGTGCCGAATCTAATTCTCTCCTCTCTCTTCTCCGCCGCCCTCCCCTGGCAGCTCAGGTTCCAGACACTGATGAGCAATTTGTGCCCGACTTTCATTCAGAAAACTGTAAGTAGTAGGAGGGTGATCACACATCTCATGGGAAAAGGGCATGATACACTCAAACCAAGCAAATACAATAATAAAAGCAACATACTAATTTTATTTCTACATTGTTGTGACAGTGACGAGAAAAAAAAAAAAAAAAAACCAAAAAAAAAACCATGCTAACTGCCCATCTTGACAGTGCCTAAGTGTCTTTGTGTGGTGGTGACTAACAGAGTCTTTTATGCTGAGTGGTTTCAGCAGATGTGTATTTCAGTTGGTGCATGTGTGAATAATTAGGCACCCCTGAACAGCTGAGAAAATGCATTACTGTGACAATTAAAGGTAAAATTTGTGCTATTGCTCCTCCCAAAGCAAAAGAAGTTGGACCGTACATGGAATTATGGGTGCTGTGTCTACTGCAGGTGCTTTTTGGGGGCTCTGCTCACCTGCGTGGCCTCTGGCTGAGCATCTGTGAGATGATGGTCCTGTCTGCTGCCTGCCGCACCACAAGGGTCCCTGAAGAGATATGCTTGCTAGCCTGCTTGCTCTCTGTTCTTAGGAACTGTCCGCTGAATAGATTGCACATGTTTGCACAGGAGTGTGCAGACTGTACCACAAATGTTTGCCCTGAGAACTGGTCAAAGCACTTCACCTTACAAAGGAGCTGAATGCTGCACAGGTACAAGTATATGTATAGGACCCTTCCACACAACAGCCATGCAACTCTTTCTGTTTTTCTTGTACCAGTCCTGCCTCAGCTGGTCCTCACAGCATGCCAGCATTTTGTTTCAAAGCTGATGCTGGGCTAAGACTACATGCCTGAAGTGAATACAGACTGTTCTGAATAGCTCTGATTCACAAGCAGCCAGAGGAACCCACAGCCTGACTTTTGACAGGCATGTCAAGGCTTCAAGAAGATGCCTTACTGTTCCCTGGGTATATAAGTTTGGCAGCAAACTGAGAGTAGAGATGTCTGTTTAAAGCTGGTGCAGTCAACTTTGGTGCCCTTCCTATGCTGAAAACTAAACTGAAGAACTTTTACTGCTTCTCTTTGTCTACCTCCTTTCCCTGGACTCAGCTTTGCAGCACAGCTGAGCTGGCTCTTTGAGGCATATACTATGTTTCTTCCTCTTTTTGACCTAGAACTGAGGAGAGGGCTGGTCCCATGTTTCATTGACTGAATGAACGAGCCAGTTGTAATGTGACAGCCTGTTCCAGCTATTAGAGGCCAGAAAGAATTGGCTGTTTGTAGCAGACCTAGCTCCTTCAAATGTCAATGGAGTTCAGACAGCACTGGACAGAGCAATTTTCCTCCCCCCCATCCCCCCTCCCCAGAGACTCAGCTGACACTTTGACATTTTTAGATAGGTTCTACATATCTATTTACTCCATACATTGAAAAGAGCTGCTGCAGACAGAAGGGAAATGGATGCGCCTGGGTGTAGAAAGACTCTTTTCTCTTTTGACCCTTTCCTGGACCTGGGATGTTTGCACAGATGCAGCAGTGTCATGCTTGGGATACTGAATCCATTCCAGGTGAGGGCCAGGCTGGCTGGATCAGTGTGCTCACAGGTGTCAGTCTGGACCATGCCAAGAGTTGCTTGTGAACAGGCCCCTCTGCTATGATTGATAGCAGCCCCAAGATTGGCTGTGCAGGCCAGTCAGCCCTGAGAAGGAGCCAGAAACAATATGAGGCTCTGGTATCTTATGGATTTATTTATTTATATTGATTATGTAAAGCTTCCTGGATCCCTTTGGGTGCTGGTGTAACACAAAGAGTAAAGATGGGCTTTTCTGCTGTAGGCTGAAACTGAAGACAGGCAAAAGGATTCTGGTTTGGTTTTGTTTTGTTTTTCTTTCTTGCTGAGAAAACTAATTTTTGGGAGGGAAGTTCACATTAGAAACTGGCCTTAATATCCTTGCTAAGAGGCAGCAGCAGCCCTTTTTGATAGCTGCTTGCTGCAGCACTTCTGAAGGGACAATTAGCCCTTTATGTGTGGGAGAGCTGGCTTGAGGATGGCTGGTGCACACACAGTTCAGGTCAGCCCTGAAATAAACTCAGCCAAAATATGAGGTATTAACAGATCAGGATGTTACTTTCCATCCTTAGAACTGCAATCACAGCTCTGAGCATCCCAGGCATTGTAAGCAGCATTGTGCCAGCCTGAAGAGGTGGGAGCAAGCTGGTGAAGGATGAGCTAGTCTTACTAATAGCTTACAGTTTTTATTTGGAGGGTAGATCTTTCCCTTGTCTGAAAAACAAGCCTAGACCTATGTACCTTTTGGGGGTTATTTTTCTATCCTTCCTAAGTGTCATGACCTCCTGAAATGTTGGGGTTTGAACCCCAAGCCCTGAATTAAGGTTGACATATGGGTGATTCCCACAGCCCTTCATCCAGAGGGGTGAGTTTGCCTTAGAGCTTCCCCCCAGGGTGGGGCCGGCCCTGCAGGGAGAGCCAGAAGGGAAATGAGCCCCAGGGGTCCCGCAGGGAGCTGACAAAGGTCAGGTGTGTGCTTGGGGATAAAAACTGGGACCACTGGCAGGGAGTCAGGAGTGTCTGTCTGTGGAGTGCACTCCACAGAGCTTCCTGGTTGGGGAAAGACCTCCTGACTCTCCCTGGAGCTGGGCCCTGGTCTGTATAGACCTTTGTGAATGCGGGCTGATCAGGTGAGAGTCACCATGTGGGCACCTTTTCTTATATGTTTAACTTGGTGATCTGGCTGTTTCCCATGCCAACTATGGGAAACCTCAGTTCTCTGTTCATACCACCTGTTGTGGGCTGAGTCACGTCTTTTGGGGGATCATTGGGGGTGGCATCGATTATGTACGAGCTGGCTGACCTGTTTGTACCCCTGGCGGTCATTCAGGTCACGATGTTTTTGCTTCCAATACAGTCTGTGTATTGGTTTCTCTTCCTGCTGGTTGTGTTGTTCCTGTTAGGCCTGGTCATTGGCAGAACACCTACTAATAGCAGCAGCAGGGCCCAGAGGCAAAGGCAGAAGAGGCTCAACAAAGATAAACCTGCATTTGGAAATTATATGAGTAGCTGCTGAGTGTCAGCATGACATCGTCCTGCCCAGGAATCACAGTATCCTGTAGAAAGGCCTGGCCTTTTTCCTGAGTGCTGAAGTATATATCTGATACAATTAGTGAAAACAGATACTTCAAAGGGAAGCTACTGTGAGGACTGCAAGCTGCTCTTCAAACTTTGAAATATATTACAGTGAAAGCAAGGACCTGGAAGTTAGACTTCTGTTATTGTACTGTGCTTTAATACTGATGCAATTCCGTTGGAAAAGGGATTTTAGCTATCTAAATTGGTTAGGTGCTTCCGATAATACTACTCGCCTAAGGTGTCTGGAGCAAGCTGGCCTTTTGTAGCTGTGTTTTACAAAAAAACCTTACATATATTGTCCTACAGGACAAATGATACTATCAGGAAATCTACAATATGTCATCATATTTGTGCCTTATAACTTAATGCAGTGCTACATGGTAATGCTTCTCACAAGACATCCTTACCAGGTATGTCAATGAAAGAGCACCTTGCATGATGCAAATCAAAACTTTGCTTTTACGCATTGAAAAACACAATATGTGCATGCTGCCCCTTATGACATAACAGAAAATGTCTGTCCCAGCCCTGAAGTGGGAAAAGCCCACTCTAAATCCTTTTCAAAGTACTCTGGAGTATCACAGAACATGTAACCACTACCTTAGATTTTCTCTTTTAAGGTGGATGTATCATACAAACCTTACTAAATCAAGGGCAGAGCTCAGGAAAGTCTAGTGAGCAGCTGTACATACTGGTATTTTGTTTCTCTCAGAGCCAGCTGAACAAGGACAAGGACAACTGGCTTTTTACTGGCTGATAAAAATCTCTCTCCATAAACAAGAGAAGCGTCAACTTGATCTTTCATTTCTCTCCCACAGTAGCTTTTCACAGTCCTCCTGCTAAGATTAAAAAGGAGCCACAGAGTCCCTCCTCGGACCCCACACTGTCCTGCAACCATAAGCAGCCATTCCAGCACCACAATGGCGAGCAGTGCCTTTATGCCAGGTAACAGCTCACACAGGGGAGGGACAGGAGCTGTCCTGAAATCAAGTGCTACTGTATGAGCTAATAATGAAGTATTACGAGAACAATCTGATCTGTCTGCCGGGTAAGGGCAGTGCACATGTGCTGCAATACAAATGAACCAGTAGGTCAGTCAGTTCATGGCAGCCTGCTCAGACTGCCACTTATTGCGCTGGATAGCTCAGACCTTTGTGGAGTTGATCTGGGCTTATCTCTTTGTTCTTCACCCTAGTGCTGTTCCTCACCTGTCCTGATGCTGAGAACAGTCTTTACATATGTCACATGCCTCTCTCTCCCTATTGCTTTCCAAAACCTGTCCCACAAGGAGGTCCCTGACACCGCTCCCCACAGTCCCAGCTACTTCTCTGAGTTTTAGTATGGCTTCTTCAGTACAGACATCTTCTCCAGTTTTCTGCTTGAAGGGTTACTGCTACTGTGCATGGGGGCAACAAATAATCAGAAAGGAAAGAGTTTACGCTGGGAGTTTTCTGGCCTACATGGCTGCATAGAGGGACACTGTCTCTGCCTGTGATATGTTCTCCCCAAGTGCTGCCAAAAGTCCTCCTCAGAGAACTGTAATGCTCAAATATCTGTTTAACTGTCCCAGTGCCTATGATCAACACAGACAAGTTGGAATCAAGTCCCCCAGCCCAGGAACCCAGATACAGTCATCGCTCCAACAGTTCCCTAAACAGGACAGGACCTTCCTGACCCCTGCGGGGCCACCCCACCCCACATCCTGCTGTGGATACATCAGTGAAAACAGGTGAGTTACAGCCAGGAGGAGGCAGCCACTGGCAAGAAAGATTGCCCTCTTTGGTGATTCAGGGAGGAGGAGCTGCAGCATCCAGATTAAAGTTCTCGGTTTCCAGTAACCCCAGAATCCACCCCCATCCAAAGCACATGGGACCCACCACTGCTGCCTAGGGTTTGAAGAAGTCTATAACCTTAAGCCTGTCAGAGTCCATGAATGATGGGCTGTGTCGTTGCCCTTGGAAACATCTTTCCTTGGGGTCCCTTCCTTGCCCCAGCTACATTTGCAGCTCCTACAGCCCTAGCAACAAGCTGAGGCTATGGAATTTTCTGTTCCTTGACCAGCCCTGTATCAGAGGCTGAGATCAGAGAGCCAAGAAAGCAGCCATCCCATGTCCATCTCCCCTCTTCTAGCTCTGTGTACCAGCCACCGGTGGAGACTGGCCATTCCTTCCCCTCCTCCCAGGAAGACCCCATCGCCTACCAGTGCCAGATGTCTGAGCTCAGCCTTCAGTATCATCATCAGGGCTTCAAACAGGAGTACCATGACCCAAGGTATGAGCAAACAAGCCAGGCAGGCGGCAGCCATCAGTACCCAGGAGCTGTAGTGATCAAGCAGGAGCAGGTGGACTACATGTATGACTCAGGTAGGCAGAACTAGCTCGCTCTGAGTGTGTAAACATTGGTGGGGGTGAGCAAACTCCTGGGTTAACATCCATCACTGCTAGTCTTTGGGCTTCAAAACAGTACTACTTCAGCATCAGGAGCGTGTGTGGTTTGGGAAACTGGCTGTGTAGCAAGAAATGCTGCACTTTTGTCTGCTCACTGCACCCAAGAGAAGGCTGTGACATTCCCTTTCCATACCAGGTTTTGAGAAGGACTTTCTGGCAGGTAATGCAAAGCTTCAACAAGATAGAGGAGCAAGGAGATGATGTTAAACCCATTCAAACTAGATTACAGGCATGTATTTTTTTCCATGGGAACCAGTAGCCACTGGAGAGACTCAAAATTCATAACTGGACCACTCACACCATCAGAAATAGAAAAAAGGGCATTCTCAGTTTCACAGGGAGTTTTTGTCTTCAGAGGTATGTGTGAGCTGGTAGGTCATAGAAAGGGAGAGAAGTGAGGTCTGCTTTGAAGAAATTATACTGAAAACATAAATGGCAGCAGAAAAGAAGGGATCAATTATCTTGGACCTTGTACATAAAAACTGTCTTGGATTCCTGCAGCAGGAGGGGACCTTCAAGCACTGGCAGAGGAAAGCTGCTCTGGGTGCAGGGATTGCACTTTACAACCCTGAGCTGCAGCTCGTGGCACTATCTGGCCCTGTGCACTTTCCCTGACTGGAAGAAAAAACACTTAATTCACAAAACTGAGGCAAAGATGCAACTCTCCCAGCCCCACTAGTGGGGGTCAGCTTTTGCTGCTGAGGTCTCTTACTGGCAGCTGACACCCACTGGAAACTTGCTGCAGCAGGGCACAGAGAGAGGATGCCCTGGTTTGGAGCTTACCATGCAAGATAAACCAGCTTTGTTCTGACAAACAGATTAAAAAGTCTAAAACAGTCTAAGGAGACTAATTCTAAGGACAGGCATAAGTGCAGAGAGGGGTCTGGGTTGACTCAGCAAGTGTGCTGTTCTGTGTCTCCTGTAGTGTCAATCTCCACCTACTAATTCCATAGAAACAAGGCAGATAGCAGAGATTGCAGAGGATCACAGGAGAAAAAAGTTTAGGATTCCAAAAATAGCTCTCCAGATCTACCAGGTAATCCTTATTTTTCCAGAAGGCATAAATCTTATTTTTTCAGCAGACATGTCCAAAGACTTGCTACCCTGACATCACAATACCTTCTTCTAGAGGGTATGTTACTTCTGATTTCCTGGTATTTTAATGGACATTTTGAATTGCTTCCTTTAGCAGAAATAAATACATACATAAAAAGTTCCTGTGAGGAATAGAATCCATCACTGCAGCTATGCTGATATTACACTTTCACTGTGTCCTTCTGTCCAAGCAGGGGAAGAAAATGTGCAAACCCAGAAGAATGCTTTTTGTGAGACTAGTTTACGACTGTAATAATACAGAGTCTGTCAGCTCAGAGCACCATTCTGCCCTTAGCATCAGCAAAATGTCTGCTGAAAGCAATGGCTATACACAGGAGTATGAGGGAAATGTAAGGTAAATCTTTCCAAAGCTCCCAGTTACAGCTTCCATTTCAGCTGTGGATGGAAAATAGGTTTGATTCAGAAAATGTAGGACGCAGAAAACAGGATACAGATGACATCAACTGCACGCAACAATATATTCTGCAGAGATAACGAAAGACTTTCTGCTCATTTTCAAACTGAGGCTATTTGTTGCCTTTATGTTTTCTCAACTCTTTGTGAGAGTACCCTATCATGATTTGAAAAAGCCACAGAGACTTAAGATATCTGACATGACATTTGTGAAACGCTGTCTGTAGTAAACATTCAGATGCTGCTGCTGCAACTCCACTATCATCATATTGCCCCTGGAAAAATGTAATGCCTTCTCACTTGTGAAAACAGTGGCAGAGCATGTAGTTATCTTAAAATAAGATGACAGAAAGGTGTCATACAATTAACTTATTGTTCAAGACACAACTGTAGTTAAGAGTAGTGTATAAGTAGACTGTCCATCCTGGCTACTCTGAAGGATGTCATGTGATAGTACCACAAAAATTTGCTAGTTTAATTCATGTTTGAAAGCATGATGAAGACGAAGTTGTGGTGGGATGGCTGAGACATAAAAAGTTATCAGTCTGCCACTAACCATTTACGAGGGCCCTAAGAGGATGTTTATTAGCTGCACTTACCTATCCACCTCTGGAAAGCAAGAGAATTCTGCCTACTGTGCTTTTAATTCAATGAGTTTGCTAATTGTTCTGTAGATGTTCCTGGCTGTCCTTCTATGTACATAAATGTTGAGAGTTATCCAAGCCATTCAAATACAGAAGATACATTAGGTAAGAAACTCAAGTCCCTGTCTTCTTTTCCCTGCATTGCATTGCCCTCTGGTACTACCCTGTCTTTATTTATAACTGCCTGTGTTGCTTTCTCTTTCAGGCTGCAGCTATGACAAGCAGATGAGGTCCTTTACTGATGATGTCTGTGTTGTTCCAGAAAAATTTGAAGGTCGGAGAAAGAATGGCTCACAGTTTGCATGTAAGATAGGGTTATCCAGAATCTTTGCTAGCCACTGGACCACTATCTGCATATTGTGCTACACTGTGTTCTTGCAGGTGTATTAGCTGTGGTTCATACTTGGCTTTTTGGTATCCTATTTCTTGAGCTTTTTTGCAGCAAACAGACCTAGCATAAGTAGCTTAATTATCATGTTCGTCAGAGCTCCTCTTGGAAGAGCTGCTGGTCAATTTGCCACTGTTTTATGTGAACTGAAATATTCCAGGTAAACGTTTGTGAAATGTGTTCTCTTTTTTTTGCAACTGCTTTAGTATTGTTACTCTTAGAAACACTTTGTTTGTTCTTCTCATCAGGAGACATCAAGCAGGAAGTTGGAGGGTACCGGGAAGGACCTCCATACCAGAGACGGGGATCCCTCCAGCTATGGCAATTTCTTGTAGCTTTACTGGATGATCCAACCAATTCCCACTTCATTGCCTGGACTGGTAGAGGGATGGAGTTCAAGCTCATTGAGCCAGAAGAGGTGAAACCATTTAGCTTCTCTACAGGCTCAGGGGGAAGCAGCCAGCCACTGTTTTTGAGGCTGCAAATTCCCAAGTGGAATTCTTCTCTGCCCTGTGAAGGCTCCTGCCTACCAGTGGTACTCACTAGACCCTGAAGCAAGTCAAGGATTTTAGAAGAGGTCAAAACACCTGGGTGACACAAATATCAGGTTTAAGAAAGGCTGCTTGTAAGCTTAATCTCAGCAAGGCAGTGAGTCAGACCACCCACTGCCTCCTAGACGTTTCCCTCTCAAGCTTGCAATGATCTGTGCTGTCTTACCACACTCGAGATGTGTGGCTGACTTGGAGATTTGGAGTTTTGAACCCTACCAATCCCATAAATTTTCATAAAAGTCTGGAAGAAAATATGTCCTAGTCTAAACACATTTTTATATAAAAAAAAATTATGCTAACTAAGGTAATATATAATGCTGCCACATTCCAAAAAAAACAGATGATACCTGACAATATTTAGGGTGTCTCTGTAATATCTGTTCTTATCTTGCTCTAATCAGAGCTGCATTTAGCACTGTTCTTGCTACATATCAGCCTTTATGGACATTTCAGTGCAGATGTGTTGTTTTGGTGGACTGGCATATGCTTACAACAGAATTCTGAGTCTCACGGACAATGCTGAAAATCATATAGTAGAAGGAAGAAAGGCTCGTGAGTTTTTCAGTGTAGGTACCAGCCCTCATACTTGGGCTTCTGGTAAACATGTGATCCTTGAAGATGAAGTGTAGCATAGGACGAAGCAGTTCTTTAGCATCCTCAAGCTTTCAGAGTACTCGAGAGTGAGGAGAACTGAATAGCAAATGAGCTCTTCAGAGGCAAGGAGAATGTCTCTCTGATATCAGGTACTTCAGTTTCAGTTCTACTCTTTTTTTGTTGAAACACCACTAAATAATTATTGTTTGAGTCTATAAATTAAATGTTGTAAATATTTGTATGGATTGAGGTACCATTCCTCAAAAGAGAATCATCTGGATAACGTTCTTTGGCCCTTGGGTTGGGTTTAGAAGCATTCACGCACTTTGATGCTTTATTCTACAGGTAGCCAGGCTGTGGGGTATCCAAAAGAACCGTCCAGCCATGAACTATGACAAGCTGAGCCGATCCCTTCGCTACTATTATGAGAAAGGCATAATGCAGAAGGTCAGTTTGCAAAGAAGATAGAGGTGTTTATGCCTTTAGTGATTCTTCTCTTGTTTGAGACAGGAAGTCTTACAGGTAGAGAATGTACTTGAGATACTCAGGCATCCTGAGTTTTCTTTCCCCATAATTTCTCTTTGCAGCAGTTACCTGAGGAAGGTGTAGAGGAGCTGAATCTAGGCAACATATGTGAAATAAAAAAAAAAAGGAGATCACTATTTCTTCCTTTTTCCGTATGTGTCTGCAGTCAGGAGAGTTGGAATTTACACAGCTGCAAGGATATATAATGAGCCTAGATTTGCTGTTAGCGAAAGAAAGGCTGCCTGGGGGTTGGTCCTATGTGGTAGGAACGGTCTCTTCAAAATCCAGGGGACTGGAGAGGATAATTATTAATTATGTCACAGTACAGACTGGGCAGGGACTGTTGATGCTATTGTTACCTGGAGAAAGAGTCAGCTGTCAGCGTCCCACTTCCCAGGAGCTGTTCCAGGGGAGACCACAATAGCAAAGAAATGGGAGGGCAGCACAAGAAGTTTACAACTCTAACATGTCTCAGGGCAACGGACCACAGCAGCCAGATGGTTTTGCAAGCCTTTTCCACTGCTGAGGAGCAGTGCCTAGTGCTGCTTGTGGGCCTGCAGCATTCATCTCATATCTTCCCTGCAGGTGGCTGGAGAGCGCTACGTGTACAAGTTTGTGTGTGAGCCTGAAGCCTTGTTCTCTCTGGCCTTCCCTGACAATCAGCGGCCAACTCTGAAGGCAGAGTTTGACCGGCTGATCAGTGAGGAGGATACAGTGCCTCTCTCTCACCTGGATGAGAATGTCACTTGCTTGCCAGACCTCAGGAGCCTCCCTCCACAGCTTTACAGCAAAGGCTACACATACTAGCGTTGCTGGGAGCACACTGTGCCACCTTTGCTTGTATATAGATGATGTCTGGTTAGTATTCAATCAGTATAAGCATTTTTCTGGCCCAGCCTAGGGCAGCACGAAACTATGGACTATCTGCTTTGGTCAGGAAAAGTGTTCAGGTAAAGACATGGATATCACCTGACAGTTGGCAGGGCTTTTGTGTGCTTGTGATAAGACCCTCATATTTGTCAGGATGGAAGTTGTTCTCAGCAATGCAGACATCTTCTGAGCAGCAGAGCTGCAGCTTCAGCAGCACACTGGGTAATCACTGCCTCCAGCCAGAAGAGACAAGCCTGTCACAGACACTCCTTTGGCAGGGGAGGAGATGCTGTCCTACTGGGCTTTTTTCAAACATGAGGATTCTACAATGGTGCTGCAGACTCCGTTCCTCCAGTACATGTACTAAGCCTCTGTAGAACCTGCCTTCAGCAAGGGATGACTCCACTGTACATGGACTTGTCTTTGCAAAGCCAGTCCTGCCTTCTTCCCAGGATGGCTGGAAAACAGTGGTCACAGATCATATACCTTCACTGTCAACTGCTTTGTGGGAATGGAGAGTACTTGTCTTGTATTGCATGCTTCTGCCTTATAATCTCCTTTCTCGTTGCCAGGGCTATTTGGTACTTTGTCACTGTCTGAGTAGGGTAGCTGGAGGCACTGGCCAAGATTAGAGCAGTCCTGGAGTACATGGTACAGCATACAATTTAGGAGAACTACAAAGCTGAAAGCTGCGCAATTGCATTGGTCTGGGTCACAGGTCAAAGACAATGTCACCTTCAGGTTTAGGGATTGCAGGAGGCAGCAAGGTCTAAACCATCAGTTCATTAGTGTTGTGGCTTTTCCAAACTGAACAACTTCAACAAACATGCTCTGAATCTTTAAATACCTGTCAGTCTCTTGAGTGCACCCATCCTGGGCTTGGCTAGAAAATCATCTGAGGCAAGAAAAGAACCTGGAGGAGGTGTGTTAAGAAAATGCTTTACAAAGTAACCTAAGCCATATGTAGTTCTTAATACCTGAATTTAGACTTAACCTCCACAGATGTTTGCATGTTTGAGGGAAATGCTGATGTGATGTGATGGAAAGGCAACTATCTCTGCAGCCCAATGCAACTTAACTAGACTTTGACTGATCTTCCACAATAGTGAACATTTATAATGGGCACCACACGCTTATTGAGAGATGCCTCACTTCTTAATTAGCAGCCCCGACCATGCATCCAGTTAGCCAAGTACAGTACACTATACCCATACAGAAAAAGCCTGTTTCCTACTGCTTCACTGATGTTCCAGCTGATGAATACAGAGCATCACCAATGTGACAGCCTGTAGAGTAAACCCCGTATGTTGATCGAAAGCCTGATTTCCCCCAGTGACTCTCCCCTGCATGGCTAATGCCAACCCTCCCGGCCTTGTCCCTAAGCATTAGGGCCCCAAAAGGCAACTCTCCCTGCCTGTGGAGAGGACAGATGTTCAGACCAGTCTGTTCTGCTGATGCCTTTGTTTACCCTGTACAGTCCAGAGACTTAATGTTCTGGCAGCTCCAGGCCCTCCTGCCTTGCCCTGCTCCCAGCTGGCAAGCACACTTCGTCTTGTGTCCCAGAAGTGAGGGTGAAGAGGAACTCTTCCACTAGTATAAGCTGCCTTTACTATTTATGAGTGTAAAAATACTATCATTAATAAATTGGTCTATGTCTTTGGCCAGTGCACCTTCATTCTGCCCCTGTCTAGTCCTCCCCTACCTTCTAAGCTTGCTTTGCCCATTTCCTTGGCACCAGTTTGCAGCTTTGGGTAGCCGATCCAGAGAGTTCAAGGATGTGTGTTTACTTAAGAATCTTGGTGGAGTTCAAGAAATGAACACTTCATTCCCTTGACATTCTTTGTCCTAAGCAGTGGCACATCTAGGTTGCTTGCTAGGAAAGTGAGCACGTTACTGCCTGCTGAGCTAGTAATGTAATCGGGACAGCACAGGGCATGCCAGCAATGAGAGTGGCACCCTGTACCTGGTGACAGCACTGGAGCCCTGCCAGGACACAGCTATCCATGTGAGCCTCAGTGAAGGACACAGCAAGGACAGGAGTAACCCTGAAGTGGGGAAGCCCTTTCACAGTGCACTTTGCTCAAGAGAGTCAGGTACCTCCTAAGGGAAGTATTTCTGCCTTCTAGAGGCAAACTGTAGGTGGTATACACCACTGCAACACTGTTTCAAATAGATGACACTAGTAGCTTTCTTTTATTTCATATATCAGCCTGCAGGATTCCTAGGGATTTTACATTTATCCAGTATTCTCTGGGCTACCCTCTGCCCAGCCAATCCACCAGAAAGGGCATTCAGGGAGCTAGTTCACATCTGGATGATATTTTAGCTCCATGTTTCACTCAGGTTTGTCAAAATGCAACAGATCGGTAGCTGCAGAGCTGTTCTGGGAATTGACAAGATCAGGTTCTCATAACTGAGGAGCAGTAACCTCCAAAAGGCAGATTTATAATAACCAGAGAGCTGGGAGTCAATAAATACACTCTATGTTTCCAGTTCAGCAAGACAAGGAAGTAGAAGATTAGGGAAAGATGTTGGAGGTAGTAAAGTGTCATAAATTTCTTATGCTGGTCTGAAAAGTGCCAGTACACTCCCACCACATGGATGTTTCAGCTTTGCTATCTGGTCAGTCACATTCCTGTTCGTGCAGTGAGCTGCAACGACTCGATGCAGACAGGAGAGCTGTCTCTTCCTGAGCTCAGTGTTTTCGGCACTTGAGTGGGGAGAAGTGCATGCCACTGTGTGACGGTGTATGCAGCCAGTGGAACACATCTTTAAGTCAGTATCTCTTCACTGCACAATTCACAGTTGAGCTTTGCTGTACATTAGGCAGGTAAAAAAGGTAAGAAAGAAAAACATCATTCCTCTTGATGGAAAACACCCTAAAGACAGAGTTCTGTTCAGGAACCCTCTGGCATCTGGATGCAAATATACCTAGCATTCTCACTCTTTTTCACTACTGTTTACTCACTATATTCAAGACTTATTCTAGCAGCTTTTTCATGAGGATGTGATGATGCTTTGGGACCAGTCAGAAATAAATTCTCAGTAGTCATTTCTTCCTAATGTATTTTTTTCTAGAATAATTTTTTTCTGTGTGGTTGCCATTGTTGAAATGGCTTTTCTGTTACTCCTGCTGTATCAACGACGCAAAGCCCAGCAGGAAGCACCATAAATATATTACCCAGAACACGATGCAAAGTTCCTTTCTGGTCATAGTAACTAATTAACATGTAACATTGCATTACAAGGGAACATCTGGGACGTGTTATAGCATGTACTGTCTAGGGCAAAGGAATTAATCCTAGTTCAGCTCTGCCTGGCAACCCGTTATTACTATCTGATGCAACTTGCTGAGGCTAACCTATGAAATAATACTATTATCAGATTCCATACCCTAAAATAAGCAAGAATAGCAATAATGAAGAACAAGAACAGCAGCAAATCTCACTTTATGGGATAAACACTGAACAGGAAGGCAAGAGACTTATTAGAAGGTGCATTCATCTTTTCCAGGCTGTATACAACGAAGACATCTGATGTTATCTGGATAGGCAAAGCCTAGTGTGCCTAGGGCCTGTAGACAGGTCAGAAGGGACAATACATCATTCCTAGTAGTGCTGAGAAGAGTGCCAGGATGAGATCTGACAGGGACAGATTCTGTCCTGGCCAGGTCAAGACTCCAAAAGCCATTTGAACTGAGCTGTGTCACCTCAAGACAAGGAGAGCAGCTGAAGCCTTTTGCCCCTCTGGCGTTATTTCTGACCCATCACACAGAGCCTGGTGGGACCATTCAGCTCTGTACCAGACAGACACTCCCATGTATAGCATATGCTCATCCACACCCATTGAAGAGGCTCAGCAGACAGAGGAAAACCAGAGCTGTTCGTGACCCCTTCTAGTCAGTACTTTTAACCTGAGCCCAAGAGGGGCTCGTCTCCTTTGCAGCACTAAGCCTGTCAGTCACAGCACAGGGTCAGCATGTGGGAGTTACTGTTCTGGCAAGCCACAAACCTTTGGCTTTGCCACAATTGAGCTCCCAGGAGGGAGATAGGCACGCAACCATTTAAAACATTCCTGCAGAGGTTTCTGTAAGACAGAGTCTTAGGATGAACTTGGGCTTGCTCTGCTTAGCATTCAGACTTTGGATGAGGTGACCCCAACAGGAGCACTGTGTCATTTACACCATTAAGCCAGCCACAGGGGAGCATACGTAACTGCAAGGGCAATAATATCATGGCATTTGACTCCTTGTAACTTTTTGTGGAGGTATAGCACTCCCAAGAACGACGTTGGCATTAGTTGTTGATACATTCGAGATTCATTATGATAAATGAATCAGCCCTAATGACACCTACACATATCTCCCCGCTCTCCTCCGCATTTGAATTACAGAAACCTTGTAATCTACCGCAGCACTGGAAACCATTTTGCACAATGAATATTGATTTCTTTGTGCCTTGATGCCTGACACATTGATGAGACAGCAGAGGCAGAAGTGCCCACCAGCCTGCGGAACACAGAGGCAGAGTAAGAGCAAAGCTAAACTCAATGGAGGCCTCAACCTGTTTGGCCTCAGCAGGGGACTGCCACCCAGTCAACCCTGAGGGCAGCATTTACTGCCCCAGAGCAGTATTGACCCCTCAAGGCTGGCAGACAGCACCCTCCCCACCCTGCTTCCTGCAGCTAGGGAGGGCAGTCCGCTCCTCTTTCTGAAGGACAAGTTGACAGATACTGGCCTACGTAGTTGTAAATTCCTTAAATGTTTTCCTGTGTCTGACAGTCTGTTAAAGAGTAGCCTGCAGAGTCCACAAGAGGTCTTCCAGGCTCTGATTCTGGGGAGGTTTCCTCAGGGGTTATTCACAGAGAAAGAGGTCAGTCCCTCTGACCCACTCCCTTGCCAGATCAGGGTCCATGCCAGCTGGAGCCTGTTTCTCCCA